ATCGGAAGAACTGGAGAAACGGGGACGGTTTCAAAATAAGCAGCAGTCGGGGACTCTGGATATGCAGGGATATGGAAGAAAAGAAATCAAAAGAGACAACTCCCAGCATTGTAGTTGATGAGACTGGGTGATTTGTGGTGTCACCCTCTAAAATGGTGTATAAATCAAGTCATGACTACAGCTTCCTCAAACACAAAACTTCTGCAAACAAGTGTTAACATTTTTGCTTCTGCAATTTTAAGTTATCATAAGTAACATCAAGCCAAAATATGTAACATGCCTGCAACGAATCTACCCTTTTACAAAGAGGCAGTAACAAGAGCCCCTATTTCATTAGTTCCGTTACTAACAAGAGACTATTTGGGGCCAGGTGGTGGCATGGTGGCTAAGATGGCTGGATCTCAGATGGCCAACTGTGTGGTTGGAGTCCCAGACCTAGAAGCTTGACAAACATGCCAGGTGTGGGTATATGTGCCAAAAATCCTAAGAGGAGAACCAAATAGAAAGGACTGGTGTGGCCGTCTCCCGGGGGTAGAGTTCTCACTTTCTCATTCTCCCCCTACTTCAGCAAACACACATGTCCTATAGCCAAACTAAAAATTTTAAAAAGTGAATACATAAATTATTTAATTAAATGAAATATTTTCTTTTCTTTTTTTTTTTTTAAGGTTTTGCCATAGGGAACGTGTGCTGGCCAGAGACACAGAGAGAGACAGGAGAGGGAAAGTGAGAAATCACCCCCTGAGGTGTATGGCCACACCATAATCCCTTCTCCTCCATTCTCCTCCTGGGACTTTGAGCATGCATGTAAACACGCCCGGCATGACTTTCAAGCCACCAGGTCTAGGACTCGAACTGCAACAGCCATGTGGGAGTCCAGTGCCCTAACCACTATACCATCCACTGGCCCCAAGAGAGACCATTTTTTAAGTTCCTTTCTTTTTTTCCCATGAGACACAGGCAGGCTTCTAACACCGTTGTCACACCATGATCCTCTTCCCAGTCCCTCAGCCAGCGAGGATCACAATGTACCACATGTGCTCAGGTCAACCAGGGTCCAAACCCCAGGCGTTCCCATATGGCTGCAGTATTGTACAGTGGCACCCCATTGCCTAGACCACAGCAGCTGGGCCTAAGAGAGACAGTTTTAAACACAGAGAAAATCCACCGAAATATTACATGTAATGTGTTTTAGAACTGCATAACAGTGGGTGAATTACCAAAGATAGCTTGGACAACAGAAAGACAAATGGGGACTAGGATCTGAGCAAAAAAGACAAATGGGGACTAGGATCCCATGAATACAGAGCCTTAACGGTTAGGTCTAAAACTTACAAATCGAGACCAGCAGGTGACGTAATGGTTATGTCTCTGGACTCCTCAGTAGTCAACTGTGGTTGGAGTCCTGGACGCATTGGCTTAAACGTCAAAGTAGGTGTGTGTGCCCAAATTCCCAAGAGAAGAAGGGAATGCAGTGTGGTCATCCCTGGGAGGAGTGATTTCTCACTTTCTGTTTGTCTTTCTCTCTGTGCCTTCGGTGAGCACATGCAC